GCGAGATAAATAAACTGGCGGTGCTGCGCACTTTGGAGAGCGGACGATATCTGGTTTTTCGCTGATGAAATCTGTACGAGTTTCCGTTCTTGCAGAGTAAGCATTCGTGGGCTATTCAGCTCAGATGGTTATTCAGCTCAAGAAGCCGCGCTACATCATCTTTGCAAACAGGTCGAAAAAATATCATGTCCGAAGATACAAGTCGATTCGACTGCAAATTAACCAATGCGAAACTCTACCTGAACTCGGAATGTTATCCGTACGACGACTTGAATCTGGATTTCGATAAAAACAGATGTGCGATTCTGTACATGTACTCGTATGCGTATTTCTGCAAGGCTATTACGGATACGAATATCTCGAGCCGAGTCTCACTTTTATGATTTTTTTACGTAATGGTCCGTTCGTCGATTGCTCTCGACAAAACGAATTGATCAATAGTGGCACACTGGACGTGCGATTAGACTTTGAATGTAAGGAGAACGTACCCAAATATAACAGTCTATTATCTCATCATACACGATCACGTGTTCAGTATAATCCATTGATCAACGTTGTGCGCAAAATCACCTAAGTGCATCCTCCAACACGATATAAAATCTACGATACGCAATCGACCATAGTCTTCTTGACAACATGCCCGTGCCAACGTTCAGATCTGCAAGAATTCATCGTTAACAAAAAATTATTGTGGAAAGAAGTAGCGATGCTGAAACAGGGCACCGTTCTTACGCATTACATTTTTACGAGTCCCGTGCCATGGAAATTTTTAACAAGATTCGACAGATTTTGCGCTTCCTGGTTGAGTGCTTATCACCATGAATTGATAGGAGCACGGGATGGTCCCGTACAGCGAGGCGAAACGCCTGATTACGGCGGCTGTTATTTGAAGATGATGCTATCATGATGCGTCAAGGGACGCGAGAAACGAACATTGGCACGGATATGAACGTGACTGTGGAACTTCTGAACGATGAATGAGAACGCATGTACATCGAGACTTTGGATGCAGTTTACAAGGACATGGAATCTTTAATTAATTTGGATGTTGCTAATACTATGCAATGCGGACATGTTAAGAACTGCGCGTTATAAAATGTATTTAAAATATATAACTAGTGATTGCAAAAGAATTTTTAAATAAAAATACATTAACGTATTTATTACGTATTTATTTTTTTCTTTCTTTGTAATATATGTACGTATGTATGAACGTATGTATGTACGTATGTTCGAACATATGTATGTATGTATGTATGAACGTATGTACGTACGGATGTTCGAACATATGTATGTATGTATGTATGAACGTATGAACGTATATGTATGAACGTATGAACATATGGCAAGAGAGGCGAGCGCGACTCGATGACTAATAATCTTCTAACGATTCTAACTACAAAAATCGACAACTAAAAATCCCAAGGCTTGGGAGAATAGCACGTGTCTCGCAAGTTCACGATCCTACACGGTGGTCATTAAACCGGCCTCTTTTCGCGACGTGAGCTTTTCCACGCGCAATCCACCCGAAGCTACGAACCCGGATGAGCTTTACAGCAGCGGTGGCGACGCTTGTCTCATCCTCGTCCTTTTCCTTCCGCTTGTCTCCTCGGTAATCTCACTCATAGCAGCAGTCTCCAAACGCTCGACTTCGCACATCCTTTACACGTTGTCCCAGTCATAGCAGGAGTGAGGCCCGGCAACCCCTTATTCACGCAGGCCGTTTAGTCCCTCCCCC